TATTCCAGTCGTACCTCTCCCCAGCAAAGTTTTCTTGCTCCTACTGGGCAATCCTGAGGCGTTCCCAGGCCAGGTGAGATATGTAATCCCTCCAGCGAGTTCTGGGTCTACCCCAGGGTCTCCTCCCAGTTTGACTTAATCAGAAAACTTACAAAGGAAGGCATCCAGGAGGCATCCTAATCAGATGCCCAAACCACCACAGCTGTGCAGATACAGTTTGCACTACACATACATTCTGTTAATCTTGTTTGGTCACAACATTGACATGCGCATAAGTACATTGCACTGGTTTTTATTTACTTTAATTGTTCCTGGACTTTTGTATGGACTACTTTATTTATTCCATTTTAAAATTTAACCTGTTCTGAGAGTGTTGTATGTTATTCTACTCATGTCCACCCTAACTCAAACTGCTGTGTTTATTGAGTAAAGTGGGTACCAAACAGACTGTATTTTCAATAAGGAATTGAATGTGTGTGTGTAAGATCTGCAAGACCAGGATTGTTTCGTTATTTAGCAAACATTTACCAGTACAAACAACTCGTAAGCACTATACATAACCTTTTTTGTAGACAGTTTGTTTGTGCTGTCACCCAATGTGTGCAGTGGCTTGTGTCTGTGTGGTTTTTAGAAATGTATGGCACAAACATGTTAAAATCAAAGAAAGGGCACCCAGCAGGGGTAGCTGTCTAAAAGGTGAATACTTTGATGTTATCGTTCTTGATCTTGTGGTTGCCGCACACAGCTAGAGCTCAGCAATAAGGATTGCTTGGCAAGTAAAATGCCACTTCGGCTTAGTAAATCTAGCAATGCACTTGTCAAATTAGGCAAGAGATGAAAAATAAACATATAGTTTTTTTCTGGAGCTAATGATGGAAGTAGCGAAGGAGTGAGCCATCTCACCTCCTTCTCCTCTCTGTTGAGAACTTCACATGCACAGTACCCATCAGACACTCATCAGAAGGCACGGGTACCAAATCTTGGTATTAAACAGGTCCCGGGGCTAAATCAGTAAAGACTATAGTATTAGCACGCTCGCTGCGGCCTCTCTTGTGTCAGGGCTAAACTGAGCTCCTCCACATAAAAACAAATATTGTAATCTGCTCTGTCCGCAGTCTCTCATCCACTGTTTTGCACAACTAAAGTGTGCTAGCTCGGCTAATAGCGAATTGTTACCAACAACTTTAGACAAACTGCTGCATGTTGTCTAACTGTTTAGCTTAGTTTGCCACACACATTTTTAAAATTTGTTAAATTCTTGTAAGTCTAGAACCTGGATGAAACAAACCAGCCGCTTCTCTCTACCAGCAGTACCTACAGGCAGTGAGTCACAGCAGCAGAGGGAGGACAGAGGACAGAAAGAAGATACTGACTGAACTCTAGAAAGAATGAAGAACACAGACATTGCTCAGTATTGTAATGTCAGCAATATGCCTTATTTTATAGAAATTTTAGATTTGTTTCCAGTGAGATATTATTGAGTTTATATTGACTTTGCTGTTGTAAACTTTGCTGTTGTTGCTCTAGAAACATCATGTACAGTAGTTATATTGAAATTCTAATCCTCCTCTGAATTTCTTTCTTTAAATAATATAGTTTTTAAAAAGCTGTTATGTAGTAATAAAATAGAACTGATAAGAATATCGATAGTACTACAAGTTCATGATAATTTATCATTCACTCATAGTCAATGAGTTTGTTGCTTCGCATCTTTGACACGCTGTGACGTTGTTCTGATTAATTTACTTTATTATTCATAAAGGATAAACATGGCAATTAACTTTAGTCTTTGCTGTTATTTGATAACCACTAATAAATCAAACAATTTGTATAGGGGGAAGCAAAAGCTGACAAGTAGATTTTTGACCCACTGGCCCGAAAACATTAACATTGAACCCTGATGGCATGCTGATAACCATAAATTAAACATTAATGCACAATATATGTTAAAAGTACAGCAAAACAAACCTGGAAATCTATGTGATAGCACACATGTAAATCAATAGGTGTATAGCTTCATGTGCAGGGATTTAAGACATTGGTTTAAGTGAGGGCAGAGATTGCCCTGTCTGCCCTGCTCATTTTTGGCCACAGTGATTATTTACACCATGCGAATGGGATGTCTATTGCTGTGGCTTTTACTGCACTACAGCTGTGTAACCCTGGTGGATGCAGAATGCACCCCAGAGTCAACCGTGAATCAAGCTATTGGCTCTCCTCAGTTAATACGGTGAAGGAGTGTATCACAAATTCTAATGGGCCTCAAGTGCTATTGGAATGGGTAAATGTGAGGATCTATTTTCCAGGCTTTGGGGCCGAATATCTAAAAAGGGCATGTTTATTTTCTTCTCCTCTCCTCAGTGTATTTGTACTATTCTCCATCTCTAGTGCATTGTCTATTGATTTTCTCCAGCCCCCTCTATCAGTCAGGCTTTAATAAGACAACACATGTCGTCTTTTAAAGAAACGTATTAGAATGTTAATGGATCACTCCACAGACCTGTTTGCCTCTCTGCTGTGTTGCGTGTGTGTTGCGTGTGTGTGTGTGTGTGTGTGTGTTTGTGTGTGTGTGTGTGTGTGTGTGTTTGTGTGAACACACGCACATGCTTGTGTCTTTGTGTACGTGTGTGCCACCACATTTTCATTAACGCCGAAGAAGACAACATTCATCTTGATGGTTTTAGCGAGTAAAGGGGGTGGAAAACAAGGAGAATGTGGCAATAGAGGGATGAAGGGATAAGGATGGAGAGAATAGTTGAAAGTGAAGAAGAAACCTCCTCATGCAGAGTGGATTCATCTTCTGTCTTATTGTTCCTGCAGGGACCAATTTATCTTCATTTAGGTTTTTGGCACCAGCCCCAATCCAGACCAGCCTTCTTAAGAAAGCACATGACCTCAGCATGGCTCTTTAGCCATGTGGCTTGCATCTAGGGTTTGACCAGTATGTTTTTGTAAAGGCTAATTATATTGTTTGAGCTAACTGACAGTCTAAAAAATATATTTGCATTCAACTACTTGTATAACAAAGAAATTAATACTGTTAAATCCTTATTTAGGGTTTATATTGAATTATTATTATTGTCCACTGGTAGCGATTTGGCAATACTGTTACACCGTACACTGTATTGAACTAATGAATTGAATTAACATCATTCAATGCATCCTTCGAAGATTTGTGCCAAGTGTCATTAGGTAGGTAGATTTATTTTGTCACAATAGAACAGGTTATAGAATTACAGCTATAGAGATACAGGTTATCTGTATCTGCTACAGCTTGAGGTGAAAAGCTTCTTCCCAGAAGGCAGCAGGGTGAACAGGCTGTGGCTGGGGTGGGTACTCTCCTTTAGAATCCTTTGGGCTCTGCGTAGGCACCTCACTTCACCAAAATCACTGATGCTCGGGAAATGGGTACCAATGATTTTCTGAGCAGTTTTGCTGCAGAGCCCTTCGGTCCTGGGCCGTGCACATCCCATGCCAGTTAGTGATGTTTTCAGTCAGGATGCTTTCTAGTTTTATATACACAAATAGTGAAAAAGATCTCATCGAAAACAGGTAAATGGTGGTGCTACCACCCTCCTGCATAATAAATTTGCAATAAAACATTTATTTGTGACTTTTTGATGCTAAGCAACCCTAAAATAGAAAAGATTTACCATTACAGATACTGTATGTAATTATCTTAAAATATAATGGCTTTTAAGCTGTTAAAAACAGCTATGTATCAACTACCAACTTAGTTTATCATCTGATGTTTCACTGTTTTCATTTGCGGGTCTTAGTATTCAATAATATATTTTCTTGTGTTTACCTCCTTTAGGAGTTTGAAGCTGCTGCCTTTTCCGTGTCTTTATTGAGCTTTAGCTCAGACCACAACACCATCTCCATTCAGCAGGGTATAAATTAACATTGATTTTAGATATGGTCTTACTGGAGAATCATGGCCTTGGTGGCCTAGTAACTAACAATAACCTTCACCTTATGACTGGATGGAGAGGCAGCGAGTTGCATTATTCTGCCAGTGTAACTCTTCATTAAAAATAATTGCTGATTAAAACAAAGTCGCCTAGACAAGTAATTGCAGATGTCCAGCCCAGATTTACACAGCGATCTTGATATATTTTGTTTAAATAACACGAAACATCTATTATCTCTGTCACTTTCTCTGTTTAACCTGTTGATTTAACCCTGTAGTGAACTTGCCGTGTTGGTTTATACTCAGCATTACATGACACTGTGCTAAAAACTGTCACTGTACTGTGAATTCTCTCTCGCCTTCTCCCCCTCTTCCCCTCCTCTCCCTGTACACCATATGTAACTTCCAAAATCACATGCTGCACGATGCTGGCTTCACCGTATGGAGCTGAGCAGTCAGATGCTTGTTAATTGTTTTGCTTCTAGAAAAGGAAAGGAGGGAGGGGGTGATGGAGTGGCAGAAGGAGGCTGGAGAGTGGGAGGGAGACGGATGTCAGAAATCAGAGGGACCCCTGCTGCCATGTCTGGATGCAGCATTGGCTGCGCAGTGAGAAGAGAAAAAAGAAAGAAAGGGGCAGAGTTGTGTCTTTCTGACAGTGTTGCAGTCTAGTCTAGGTGCCCTACTGACAGCTCAAGATTGATGGATAGAGCTGTATATCGCACATAACATCAATTCTGTCCTGCTTTCTCTTTCATTCGGAGTCTCACTCCCTCATCACTCCTCCCTTCCCCTCTCTCTCTTGCTCTCCCTCTCTCTCCCTCCCGCTGCTGCTCCAGGTCCCTCGCCTGTCCCTCTCCTCCGTATTAGTTTCCAAAAGGCATCTTTAATGCTGCCAGAGAGCGAGCTGTGAGGCAGCAAGAAAGCGAGGCGTGCGGATTGCTACCTTTTGTGACAGCTTTTCTGCTTGGCAGGCTGCGTGTGAGCTGGGGAACTGGACTGGACTGTGGTGTTTCGTGGAGGAGGTGGGAGAGGAGGTGGGAGAGGAGGTGGAGGAGCAGGAGGGAGAACTGAGGGGCAAGCTGGACAGATGGAGGACGGCATCCAACAACTGGGACACTGCATGGTTGACATGAAGGAGCTGAGTGCCAACCCTGAAGGACTGACCGCTGCCGGTGAGCTGACTGCACTGTGTTGTTTGTCTGTCTTTCTCTTAATCTGTCTCCTCTAGGTCTCTCCTGTCCTTCCTTACACATTTAACTCTGTAACACATTGTCTGCTATTAAAATTGATTCTATTTCCTGTACAGTATCCTACTGTCTCTCTAAATGCGTGTGCCAATGATGTCTAGTTTTTTAATATTTTCCATCTTTTTGTGTTTGCAGTGGTTCAGAGTGCGCGTTTGTGTGTGTGTGTGTGTGTGTGTACATTGAAGAGAGAGAGAGAGAGAGAGAAAGAGAGAGAGTGAGTGACGGGTGGGGGTACCAGTGAAAGAGGGAAACAATTTTAAATGCACGATGATCAATAATCAAGTCAGTTATCTGTATAACGTATGCCTCAGGGTCATATTATTGCAGTTATTACAAAAGAACATTTATTAAGATGCCATTAAGACAAATAGTTGAAAATTATTTGAAATGTTTAAAAGCAAAATGAGTACACTCTCTCTTATCAGACAGTTGATACAGGAGTTGAAATGATTTTGGGGCATTTTTGTGAGCAATATCATGGTGGGCCATTAATAGTCAAGTGTCTCCACAAATTAGTCCAGAGGATTGATTTTAAAACTTAGTGGCTGCCTTTTTGCAGGTTTCCAGTTAAGTGTTGGCTTCTTGCAGTGGTTGAATTAAAATCACAAATTCTTTATCTCAGAAATGTGGTCAATTGTGTCAGAGAACTCTGCCTTACCTACTTTTGGGCAACAGTGAATTTTACTTAGTGCCTCTGCCAAGAAAAGTTCGGAAAAAACATTGTTTGTTGACATGTTTGCGTATAAAAATTCTCGCGTCTTGTTTGTGCATGTGTGCCTGTGTGTTCATTCATTGTTTCTGTCTGTGGGGGTTCCTATTTGTATGAGAATGTGCACGTGTGTGTGCTTTGCTTTTGTTTGTAACTGCAGTCATATTCCATATAGCCTAAATGTGTTGTCCTTAATGAGCCCTGGCAGGGGTAAACTAGACGTCTCAGTTCCCATCACAACAGGAGAATGCTAAAGAGATTAGCCATATCAGTGATACCACAAACCCTGCTCTCCAAGTTTAATACCTTTGCTCACCAAAAGGACAGACACTGCATGCAGTGCTGCTAAGCATTTGCATTGGCATGCGAGTTCAACACCATCATCTTCCCTATGGGGATAAGTAAATGGAGTCATACAAAGAAGAATGAAAGCGCAATTCACAAAGCCTTTTTTTATCTTTTGCCTCGAACCACACAGATACATATTGAACCAGCTTACATGCGCAATTACACACATGAAAACACACACAAACACACACACACACACACACACACACGCACACAGTGAAATAATGAAACATGTACGCCTACACAATACATCCTCACATAATACACACAAGCTCATACTCACTCAAACATTTATGACCTGATCGCGAACCCTAGATATGCGCTACTATAAAATCACACAGTCACAGATTGGAGATGACATCTGACAGGTGTGGGAGTAAAACGGTAATGACAAACACCTCACTGTATATCTGTTTTGTTTCCCTTTAGCATCCTGAGAGACAAAAGGGAAGAGCAAAGCACATTATTACCATGTTTGGCATAAAAGACAGGTTGACAACCTCACATTATCAGTCACAAGGTGAAATAGTTTATCTCCTCCTTGACAGGAGAGTAAAGTGGGACCAAACAGGTGCTTCTCAGTTCTTATTAAGGTGGGACTGAATTTTACAAACTTCCCACCACAAGGAATAACATTCTTTTATTTTGACTATGAACTATTCATGTGAATTTTGAGCTGCAACAAAATTGCACAATGCTTGACATCACAAAGTTATTGTGGACCCAAATGTCTCACTCCGTGTTCTTATTAACCCTCCAAACCCCATCTCCCTTCAACTTGACAGTCAAGACCTCCTCAGCACACCCAACTGATTCACAACACTTCATTAAACGCTGGTAACAAAACCATCTGTCCCCTCTCAATCTCCCAGGGCAGTAATGTGACGATAACTCACTGTCCCATTCAGCACCACTTGTCCTAATAGGATGCCTGTTGGTGCAAACATCAATCGAGTTAGAGGTATGTTGGCCTGGCTGATGTCTGAATCATCAGAAAGGATGTACAGGTGTTGTTTAGGCAATTTAAACTATAGAATAGAGAAGAACGGGAAGGATGAGATTAAAGAAAATTAGTGAAAAGAAATATTTCAATTACTGTGCATGGGTCTGTGTGCATGTGCAGTGAGGATGAGTAGAGTTGGTTGTAGTAGTTCGGGTGGAATGGTTTATGGAGAGACAGCCAGCCATATCCCCGATTAATATCAAATCCAATGCTGAGCCAGCCACATTAGTGAATTATAAATATCATCTCTAAATCCTAAGTAAATAATATTGAAAATATAAACAGCATTTGTTCTTAGGCACAGGCTCTTACATGTACTATCTATTCATGAAGAAGATTTGAAGGCGTGATTAAGAATGTGTGCTATTCCCATTGCAAGGGGGTTTATCAGAGCTCTTTCTGGAAATTGCTTGATTTTCTTAGTTGAGCTGGTAGCATATGATGGGGACTGGAGCAGCGACAGGCAGTATTTTGGAGCGTTTCCATCCATCCAATTTTTTTTTCTGTGGAGTCAGGAATAAGTAGCAATCCCATGTGAAATCTATGCACGCACTCCCCCACATTTCCTACATCCATTCCTCCTTGCAGAGTATCTGCTAAAAGCTAGTGAGTGGTTATCACACTGTGCAGTGGGTGAGGAAGCAGGGCAATGAGAAGGGAAGAGGGTTAAATGATCATCTGCAAGATGGACAATTTAAGTCCCTGTACATTAATTAACTTTGTCATTCCAGAGAAATCACCTAGTCTGCTCACATCCTAATAAATTACACTCTTCTCTCCCTTCAGCGTGCCTTTTCCCCTACTGATACCACCCGCAGACAGGGAGGTGATAGATTGGAGCTACAGTGAGGCTGTGCTGTTATTTCTAGAGCCAGATGAAACTGCAGTATAGCGGGCGGGCACACCTCATTTGCTTTGGGCCTCTCTGGGAGTTACATCTGCATGTGTTGCCTGCTTGCTGCCTGCTGCCTTGCTGAGCTTATTACCATATTCATAATGCCAGTGGATATCGATTTTAAATACCACACCTGTTCCACTTTTCTCCACATACTTAACCACACATTGGAGCTGGATCACCTGTGAGCTTCATATGCCAAAGGAGATGTGATTGAGGTGGACAGTACAGGTGGTTGACCTCTCCCCATGTAATGGGTAATTATTGCAATTAGACTTTGTGTATTTGTTTTGGTCAGCCGGATTCTCACCGAGGGGTTAATGACATGCAGTGTGTTCAGTGCTCGAATGATGCCACGGTGTACATAACAGGTGTTCTGTCCTCGGGCTGTGCACGCATAATTTGTCCGTGATTTTAAAAACTCTGGATATTGAGTCACTGTGATCATGTGAACAATAGTTTCAAGAGCTACACTGGAACAGTGTCATGTAGTCAGTATTCGCTCTCAAAGATGCAACGTAACCTGTGTTCCCTGTCTTATAATCAAAGCATTTGGCATCATCCTTCTATAAATACTTGACACACTGACAAGCTGTGCTCTAAAATTCAGACATCTTTTAACTCCAATCCTCCTCCTGTTTCACTATCAAGTATATCTACTTGCTTTGCCATGTGTGTACGTCTCATGATCGCTATCCCCAATCCCCATATCAGACCTAGACTTAGCTTTACTTCTAAATTAAATTACTTCTACAATGACAGACATTTTACATTGCTTTTTACCACTCTAGATAAGTTGGTGTCTAGGACAGATGGAGTCCTCTAACGTAACTGGGCTGTTCAAGTGACTGTCCCTTATGATAGCATCAGAGACAAGACCCGGCAGCTGGCACTGTCTTAGCCCACCTAGCTAAAGGGCTTTCTGTTGCCACCCCACGACATTTCATCCAGGCTTATTAAAGTTTCAGCACTCACAAGGAAACCTGAGGAAACATGACCCCTGAGGAATGTGATGATGAGAGTAATGTGAAAACCAGATAACAACACAGAAAGTTTATTTACATACATAATTGGCCTATTTGTGTAACTGTGTGAGTGTGTGTATGCATGTGTTAACTTGCCCACGCGCTTCAGCTGTGTCAATTAGTCGTTGACTGCATTTGTATGCATGACAGATATTGCGCTAAGTTTGCATAAGCCTGTTTATTTAAATGTAGCCTATCCTGACAAGTACAGCAGCTGGCAAAGTCAAATTGACAATGAAACTTTAGAATTTATTCTCATATTCATTCTGTCAACATATTCGCTGAATTTAGATATGCACGTCAAGTTGCGTGGGATTTTTCCCGTGCATTGGGTCTTCTTGGCCTCAGTAGGCAAGTCACCCTCAAGAGGGCACTGGGTAATGCTAATGATTTTTGTAATTTAGCTTTTGCTTGTTATTCATTAGCAATTCCTCTAACAACATTTTGTTTTGCAAGTTAATGTTCCAAAGAACACATGTAAAAGAATAAAAGAAAAATATTGAATTGGTATTCATACTGTTGTGGTAAGATTTCTAAAGCAAGCATTTGATAAAATATGTTGAAGTGTGTCTGAAATCAAATAGAATTTTTGGGATTGATCACTGAAAATAAATTATGCTTGAAACCACAAATGTTAAAGTAAAAAATTTATTGAGTCAGTCTTTTGCAATACTGTATAAAATGTAAGATCAAATCAAGCTTCACTATACACTTTATATAGTTCATTTATACTTCCATGCATTACTTACTGTTTGGAAGTACCGGGAAGCATACAGTGTATAAAAATGGCATCTTCTATAGACTGAATCACTGTGACATCGCACTCACAACAGTCACATCCAGGTAGACAACTGGCAGTTGATTTCAATTGCAGAGATACATAACATCAGCAAATATCTGTTGTCATTTTCAGCTGTAACATTTAAAGCTATACAGTTAAACACA